AACAAGCTCTACACAGAGAGAAATATTACTTGATAAAGTTCTGCACCGGGTAAAACTTAACTTCATAAAGCTCTACATAAAGCAACATGACTGAAAAAAGCTCTACACAGAGCAAAACAGTGTGGTAATAAAAGATTGTTTGCAGCATGTATTTTATTTTTAAATTTAACGAAGACTATCACTTTTATCCTACCTACTAACTGTATATTTGTGTTTCCCGTTCATGTACTTGCGTGCATGTCGCCGTGTGCGTGTCCACCACTACCCGTCTGCGTGTCCACCACTACCCGTCTGCGTGTCCACCACTACCCGTATGCGTGTCCAACACTACGCGTGTCCACCACAGCGCCAGATGCTGTTCGGAAACGCCTTCGGGACTTCGAGTGCAGTGCCAGAGTACAAGGAGGTACTGAACACTCCAGAGGACGAGTACAACGGAGCCATCGAGTCCACACCCAGTGACAAGTCATCTCCAGTAACTAACTCACAGGTACCACTACAAACACTGCCTTCATACCTTACCTCTCTTCCCTCACGATGCCTCATACCTCAACCCTTCATACCTTATATATCTTCCTTCATGATACCTCATACCTCATCTCGTGTCTGATATAGATTATCTTGTCGTTCTGGATAATTTGTGTTGGTAGAGCAGGACAGCTGTGTTCCTAGCGCCCCGTATTCATTAATTTCACTAATCAAATTGTTAATTTTCCACTGTTTTACCATTTACTGTTTCCTACTTTATCCAGCCTCATTGTTCTATCATCTTTTTTCAATATTTTTTCCTCAACTTCTAATTGTGGTTTCTTATTTTTCCTATTGAAGGTACTTAGAAATTATCTTCATCTATTCCTTCATATGTTTTTAGGCTATCACGACTCACGAAATCGTAATAACTTAATTGCAAATAAACCAGCGACACCCGGACAGTGGGTTTTATGGGTTATCACGTCAGTTCTTCAGTGTTTTCAGCCTTTCATCACAACTCCTACCATTTTGTTTTTACTCCTGGTAACTGTTTTCTAGATAAAAAGACACAGTTGCAGCTAATGGTTTGACTAAGTTCCTGGAGAGCGAATCGTTGCCACAATAAAATTTTACATTAGTTGCATCTGTGTCCATTTACCTAACATTATGTCGGTAATTCTACCATTATGGATGTTTTGTAGCTATCCTTTTGACTTTATCTTATCCGATTTTTTATAGAGCTACAGGAACCATAACATTGCGGTATATTTCAACTGTCCACCTCTATAGGTTTTATAAGTTACCAGTGTTGCTTGTGTCTCGTGAATGAATTTATGTCGTCCCAATCACGACCCTTTAGTAATAATGACACTTAGATCCCTCTGTCTGCCATGTAAAACATCATATCACACAATCTGTATTCTTCGTACGACCTGTTATCACCTTCTCTCATCTCCATTACATGATGTGTATCTACGTTACTTCAGTCATCCATCTAGAAATCCCTGTTCTATTTATTCAAGTCTTCTTGTATGACTTTACAGTCATTGTTGTCACATATACATTCGTCTGCAGCTTTTTTCTCCTTCTGACAAGTCATCTATATACATAAAAAACAGTATTAGGAAAAGCACTGATTCTTGAGGCACTCTGCTTGTGATATTTTCCCTTGAGAACATTTTTCCTCTGATCACCGTATATATTTCCCTGTTAGAATTAAAAATCTTTTTATCATTGTGACAGTTTGCATTTTAGTCTTTATTTGTCCTATAATTTCCAGATTAATCTTCCACTGAACTATGTATGTTTTAATATAGATAAGCAGAAACTACTCCTCAATTTCTCTCTTACTGACACATTTTTCTCAGTTGCAGGTTCAGCGAGCTCAGGACAAAGCCCCGTTTTTGCCTCCTCCATCTCCGGTCCCAGGCCAGGTGAGTGTCCACCAGGCCAGGTGAGTGTCCACCAGGCCAGGTGAGTGTCCACCAGGCCAGGTGAGTGTCCACCAGGCCAGGTGAGTGTCCACCAGGCCAGTTGAATGTCAACCAGGCCAGGTGAGTGTCGTCTTGGCGAGTGCCAAACTTACAGGTGTCTCCAGGTGACCCTCTACATAGCTAACTCACTCTATTGTAATATTAATTGCCTGTCATAAAGTAATGAGCGGAGGCAGCTGAAAAAGTGTAGACTCTGCAGTGACCAACCATACAAGTGTGTCTCTGCTGTCATACACACGATTGGCAGCTCATAAACCTTACACGGGTAAAAATAAGGACGGAACGACCTTAGTTCTGACTCGGGTACTAAGAGTATTTGCTTTAAGAATGCATAGTGCAATGTTGAACTGTGTTGAGTTTAGTAAATGTTCTTATCAACGAGAGCTGATGTTGAACATTAAAATGGTAAAAAATACCGACAGGTTGTTAGGTAAGACAGATGTTATTGACATTCTTGTTGTGGGGAAACTGTAGTAGCCTAAAGAAGGAAAGGGCGCAATACCGTGACTGGAACAACGCACAGATAACTCGCTCATAGGACAGAGAATCTTACCACGAAGTTTGGGTCCTTACTTGGACCATTTACAAAGTCACACTGTGACTTTGTAAATGGTCCAAGTTGGACCGAAACGTCGTCGTAAGTTTTCTTTCCTTATGTGCGGGACATTTATGCATTGTAATTGCCTGTGTGTCCTTCCTGGAATTGAGTCTCAGCTCCTGGCTCCGGTGTTTATTGGACCTTAGCTAGTTCACTTATGTCATACCTAGTCTTAAAGACGTATATGGAGTCTGCTTCTACAGTTTGGTACAAGCCATTCCGTGTGTGTGTGAGCGTGTATGTGTGTGTGTGTGTGTGTGTGTGTGTGTGTGTGTGTGTGTGTGTGTGTGTTTTGGTTGTGTGTTTGTTGTGGTGGTGTGTTGTGTGTCGTGTGTGTGTACTCACCTAGTTGTACTCACCTAGTTGAGGTTGCGGGGGGTCGAGTCCGAGCTCCTGGCCCCGCCTCTTCACTGACCCGCAAACTAGGTCACTCTCCCTGAGCCGTGAGCTTTATCATACCCTGCTTAAAGCATTTTATGGATCCTGCCTCCACTACATCGCTTCCCAAACTTTTCCCACTTACTGACTACTCTGTGGTGAAGAAATACTTCCTAACATCCCTGTGATTCATCTGTGCCCTTCAGCTTCCAACTTTTGTCCCCTTGTTACTGTGTCCAATCTCTGGAACATCCTGTCTTTGTCCACCTTGTCAATTCCTCTCAGTATTTTGTATGTCGTTATCATGCCCCCCCTTTTCTCTCCTGTCCTCCAGTGTCGTCAGGTTGATTTCCCTTAACCTCTCCTCGTGTGTGTTGTTTTGGTGTGTGTGTGTGTGTGCGTGTGTGTGTGTGTGTGTGTGTGTGTGTGTGTGTGTGTGTGTGTGTGTGTGTGGTGTGTGTGGGGTGGGGTACTCACCTATTTTGAGGTTGCAGGGGTCGAGTCCAAGCTCCTGGCCCGCCTCTTCACTGGTCGCTACAAAGGTACTCTCCCTAAACCCATGAGCTTTATTGTACCTCGCTTAAAACTATGTATGGATCCTGACTCCACTACATCGCTTCCCAAACTATTCCCACTTCCTGACTACTCTGTGGCTGAAGAAATACTTCCTAACATCCATTTGATTCATCTGTGTCTTCAACTTCCAATTGTGCCCCCTTGTTACTGTGTCCAGTCTCTGGAACATCCTGTCTTTGTCCACCTTGTCAATTCCTCTCAGTATTTTGTAAGTCGTTATCATGTCCCCCCTATCTCTCCTGTCCTCCAGTGTCGTCAGGTTGTGTGTGTGTGTGTGTGTGTGTGTGTGTGTGTGTGCGTGTGCGTGTCGTGTGTGTGTGTGTGTGTGTGTGTGTGTGTGTGTGTGTGTGTGTGTGTGTGTGTGTGTGCATTAATTACACTTCTCACGTTGCAGATTGATTAACCCGGCCCCAGCGACGTCGATTTTCCACCCAGATCACCCAACTCAGGCCAGGTGAGTGTCAACCAGGCCAGGTGAGTGTCAGCCAGGCCAGGTGAGTGTCAACTCAGGCCAGGTGAGTGTCAACCAGGCCAGGTGAGTGTCAACCAGGCCAGGTGAGTGTCAACTCAGGCCAGGTGAGTGTCAACCAGGCCAGGTGAGTGTCACCCAGGCCAGATGAGTGTCACTCAAGCCAAGTGAGTGTCAACCAGGCTAGGTGAGTGTCACCCAAGCCAGGTGAGTGCCACCCAGGCCAGGTGAGTGCCACCCAGGCCAGGTGAGTGCCACCTAGGCCAGGTGAGTGCCACCCAGGCCAGGTGAGTACCACCTAGGCTAGGTGAGTGTCAACCAGGCGAGGTGAGTGTCAACCAGGCCAGGTGAGTGTCAACCAGGCCAGGTGAGTGCCACCCAGGTCAGGTGAGTGTCAACCAGGCCAGGTGAGTGCCACCCAGGTCAGGTGAGTGCCAACCAGGCCAGGTGAGTGCCACCCAGGCCAGGTGAGTGTAAACCCCAGCCAGGTGAGTGTCAACCAGGCCAGGTGGTGCCACCCAAGCCGGTGAGTGTCAACCAGGCCAGGTGAGTGTCCACCAGGCCAGGTGAGTACCACCCAGGCCAGGTGAGTGTCAACCAGGCCAGGTGAGTGCCACCCAGGTCAGGTGAGTGTCAACCAGGCCAGGTGAGTGCCACCCAGGTCAGGTGAGTCCCAAACCCAGGCCAGGTGAGTGCCACCCGGGCCCAGGTGAGTGTCAACCAGGCCAGGTGAGTGCCACCCAGGCCAGGTGAGTGTCAACCAGGCCAGGTGAGTGCCAACCAGGCCAGGTGAGTGCCACCCAGGCCAGGTGAGTGCCACCCAGGCCAGGTGAGTGTCAACCAGGCCAGGTGAGTGCCACCCAGGCCAGGTGAGTGTCAACCAGGCCAGGGGGAGTGCCCCCCAGGCCAGGTGAGGGGTCAACCAGGCCAGGTGAGTGTCAACCAGGCCAGGTGAGTACCACCCAGGCCAGGTGAGTGTCAACCAGGCCAGGTGAGTCCCACCCAGGTCAGGTTAGTGTCAACCAGGCCGGGTTTGAGTACCACCCAGGCCAGGTGAGTGTCAACCAGGCCAGGTGAGTGCCACCCAGGTCAGGTGAGTGTCAACCAGGCCAGGTGAGTGCCACCCAGGTCAGGTGAGTGTCAACCAGGCCAGGTGAGTGCCACCCAGGCCAGGTGAGTGTCAACCAGGCCAGGTGAGTGCCACCCAGGTCAGGTGAGTGCCACCCAGGCCAGGTGAGTGCCACCCAGGCCAGGTGAGTGTCAACCAGGCCAGGTGAGTGCCAACCAGGCCAGGTGAGTGCCACTCCTACCAGTAACTCCGCTTGTTTTTCCAGGATGCTGGAAACAATGTGTTCAGTATCATCATCCAGGTGAATAACAAACACTTGTGATAAATATTTTAGAAAAGCGACAAGTTAAAGAAAATAGCAAATGTCTAACATTTGGAAATCTTTATTCAGGAGGAAACGTTTCGCTAACCAGTGGCTTGTTAGTATCGTACTGAAGAAGTCTAATGTGCAGACGAAACGTTTCGACAAGAAAGATACCCAACTGTTGCACATGTGTCTTAGTCTTCCACTTGTCGGTAGTTCATAAAAATTTCCAACAATGTTGCAGTTCAACTGACATCAGTTACTAAGTATAGTGACAAAGAATGTAGCAGAGAACTGACATCAGTTACTAAGTATAGTGACAAAGAATGTAGCAGAGAACTGACATCAGTTACTAAGTATAGTGACAAAGAATGTAGCAGAGAACTGACATCAATTTTCTAAGTATAAATGACAAAGAATGTAGCCCAAAAAAGTGACATCAGTTACTAAGTATAGTGACAAAGAATGTAGCAGAGAACTGACATCAGTTACTAAGGGATAGTGACAAAGAATGTAGCAAGAACTGACATCAGTTACTAAGTATAATGACAAAGAATGTAGCAGAGAACTGACATCAGTTACTAAGTATAGTGACAAAGAATGTAGCAGAGAACTGACATCAGTTACTAAGTATAGTGACAAAGAATGTAGCAGAGAACTGACATCAGTTACTAAGTATAGTGACAAAGAATGTAGCAGAGAACTGACATCATTACTAAGTATATGACAAAGAATGTAGCAAAAAGTGACATCAGTTACTAAGTATAGTGACAAAGAATGTAGCAGAGAACTGACATCATTACTAAGTAATGACAAGAATGTAGAGAGAACGAATCAGTTACTAAGTATAAATGACAAAGAATGTAGCAGAGAACTGACATCAGTTTTCTAAGTATAGTGACAAAGAATGTAGCAGAGAACTGACAAACAGTTACTAAGTATAGTGACAAAGAATGTAGCAGAGAACTGCCCTCAGTTACTAAGTAAAGTGACAAAGAATGTAGCAGAGAACTGACATCAGTTACTAAGTATATGACAAAGAAAGTAGCAGAGAACTGACATCAGTTACTAAGTATAGTGACAAAGAATGTAAAGAGAACTGAAAATCAGTTACTAAGTATAGTGAAAAAAGAATGTAGAAGAGAACTGACATCAGTACTAAGTATAGTGACAAAGAAGTAGCAGAGAACTGACATCAGTTTTCTAAATATAGTGACAAAGAATGTAGAAGAGAACTGACATCAGTTACTAAGTATAGTGGGCAAAGAATGTAGAAGAAACTGACATCAGTTACTAAGTATAGTGACAAAGAATGTACAGAGAACTGACATCAGTTACTAAGTATAGTTTACAAAGAATGTAGCAGAGAACTGACATCAGTTACTAAGTATAGTGAAAAAAAGAATGTAGCAGAGAAACTGACATCAGTTACTAAAATATAGTGACAAAGAATGTAGAAGAGAACTGACATCAGTTACTAAGTATAGTGACAAAGAATGTAGCAGAGAACTGACATCAGTTACTAAGTATAGTGACAAAGAATGTAGCAGAGAACTGACATCAGTTACAAAATAATAGTGACAAAGAATGTAGCAGAGAACTGACATCAGTTACTAAGTATAGTGACAAAGATGTAGCAGAGAACTGACATCAGTTACTAAGTATAGTGACAAAGAATGTAGAAGAGAACTGACATCAGTTACTAAGTATAGTGACAAAGAATGTAGCAGAGAACTGACATCAGTTACTAAGTATAGTGACAAAGAATGTAGCAGCAGAGAACTGACATCAGTTACTAAGTATAGTGACAAAGAATGTAGCAGAGAACTGACATCAGTTATAAGTATAGTGACAAAGAATGTAGAAGGAACTGAAAATCAGTTACTAAGTATAGTGACAAAGAATGTAGCAAGAACTGACATCAGTTACTAAGTATAGTGACAAAGAATGTAGAAGAGAACTGACATCAGTTTTCTAAGTATAGTGACAAAGAATGTAGCAGAGAACTGGGCATCAGTTATAAGTTAGTGACAAAGAATGTAGCAGAGAACTGACATCAGTTACTAAGTATAGTGCAAAAAATGTAGCAGAGGGAAATGACATCAGTTACTAAGTATAGTGACAAAGAATGTAGCAGAGAACTGACATCAGTTACTAAGTATAGTGACAAAGAATGTAGCAGAGAACTGACATCAGTTACTAAGTATAGTGACAAAGAATGTAGCAGAGAACTGACATCAGTTACTAAGTATAGTGACAAAGAATGTAGAAGAGAACTGACATCAGTTACTAAGTATAGTGACAAAGAATGTAAACAGAGAACTGACATCAGTTACTAAGTATAGTGAAAAAGAATGTAGAAAAGAACTGACATCAGTTACTAAGTATGAAAAGGGGGGAAAAAGAAGGGCAAAGAATGTAGCAGAGAACTGACATCAGTTACTAAGTATAGTGACAAGAATGTAGCAGAGAACTGACATCAGTTTTCTAAGTATAGTGACAAAGAATGTAGAAGAACTGACATCAGTTACTAAGTATAGTGACAAAGAATGTAGCAGAGAACTGACATCAGTTACTAAGTATAGTGACAAAGAATGTAGCAGAGAACTGACATCATTTACTAAGTATAGTGACAAAGAATGTAGCAGAGAACTGACATCAGTTACTAAGTATAGTGACAAAGAATGTAGCAGAGAACTGACATCAGTTACTAAGTATAGTGACAAAGAATGTAGAAGAGAACTGACATCAGTTACTAAGTATAGTGACAAAGAATGTAGAAGAGAACTGACATCAGTTACTAAGTATAGTGACAAAAAATGTAAAGAGAAAATGACATCAGTTACTAAGTATAGTGACAAAGAATGTAGCAGAGAACTGACATCATTACTAAGTTAATGACAAAGAATGTAGAAGAGAACTGAATCAGTTACTAAGTATAGTACAAAGAATGTAGAAAAGAATGACATCAGTTACTAAGTATAGTGACAAGAATGTAGAAGAGAACTGACATCAGTTACTAAGTATAGTGACAAAGAATGTAGCAGAGAACTGACATCAGTTACTAAGTATAGTGACAAAGAATGTAGAAGAGAACTGACATCAGTTACTAAGTATAGTGACAAAGAATGTAGCAGAGAACTGACATCAGTTACTAAGTATAGTGACAAAGAATGTAGCAGAGAACTGACATCAGTTACTAAGTATAGTGACAAAGAATGTAGCAGAGAACTGACATCAGTTACTAAGTATAGTGACAAGAATGTGCAGAGAACTGACATCAGTTGCTAAGTTAAAGTGACAAAGAATGTAGAAGAGAACTGACATCAGTTACTAAGTATAGTGACAAAGAATGTAGAAGAGAACTGACATTAGTTACTAAGTATAGTGAAAAAAGAATGTAGCAGAGAATGACATCAGTTACTAAGTATAGTGACAAAGAATGTAGCAGAGAACTGACATCAGTTACTAAATTTTAGTGGGCCAAAGAATGTAGAGAGAACTGACATCAGTTACTAAGTATAAATGACAAAGAATGTAGCAGAGAAACTGACACAGTTACTAAGTATAGTGGGCAAAGAATGTAGCGAGAACTGACATCAGTTACTAAGTATAGTGCCCAAAGAATGTAGCAGGACATCAGTTACTAAGTATAGTTTACAAAGAATGTAGCAGAGAACTGACATCAGTTACTAAGTTTTTAGTGACAAAGAATGTAGCAGAGAACTGACATCAGTTACTAAGTAAAAGTGACAAAGAATGTAGCAGAGAACTGACATCAGTTTTCTAAGTTTTAGTGACAAAGAATGTAGCAGAGAACTGACATCAGTTACTAAGTATAGTGACAAAGAATGTAGAAGAGAACTGACATCAGTTACTAAGTATAGTGACAAAGAATGTAGCAGAGAACTGACATCAGTTACTAAGTATAGTGACAAAGAATGTAACAGAGAATGACATCGTTACTTAAATATAGTGACAAAGAATGTAGCAGAGAACTGACATCATTACTAAGTATAGTGACAAAGAATGTAGCAGAGAACTGACATCAGTTACTAAGTATAGTGACAAAGAATGTTAGCAGGAACTGACATCATTTTCTAAGTATAGTGACAAAGAATGTAGCAGAGAAACTACATCAGTTACTAAGTATAGTGACAAAGAATGTAGCAGAGAACTGACATCAGTTACTAAGTATAGTGACAAAGAATGTAGCAGAGAACTGACATCAGTTACTAAGTATAGTGACAAAGAAAAGTAGCAGAGAACTGACATCAGTTTCTAAGTATAGTGACAAAGAATGTAGCAGAGAACTGACATCAGTTTACTAAGTATAGTGACAAGAATGTAGCAAGAATGACATCGTTACTAATATAGTGACAAAGAATGTAGCAGAGAAAATGACATCAGTTACTAAGTATAGTGACAAAGAATGTAGCAGAGAAATGACATCAGTTACTAAGTATAGTGACAAAGAATGTAGCAGAGAACTGACATCAGTTACTAAGTATAGTGACAAAGAATGTAGCAGAGAACTGACATCAGTTACTAAGTATAGTGACAAAGAATGTAGCAGAGAACTGACATCAGTTACTAAGTATAGTGACAAAGAATGTAGCAGAGAAAACTGACATCAGTTACTAAGTATAGTGACAAAGAATGTAGCAGAGAAGTGACATCAGTTACTAAGTATAGTGACAAAGAATGTAGCAGAGAACTGACATCAGTTACTAAGTATAGTGACAAAGAATGTAGCAGAGAACTGACATCAGTTACTAAGTATAGTGACAAAGAATGTAGCAGAGAACTGACATCAGTTACTAAGTATAGTGACAAAGAATGTAGCAGAGAACTGACATCAGTTACTAAGTATAGTGACAAAGAATGTAGCAGAGAAGAAAACACACATCATTGTTTTCACAAAAAGCATTTCTGAATAAATGAATTTATCTTTTACCTTATACAAATTTTGATTCACTTACAATTAATAATCCACTGTACAACTATGAAATAATTACTATCCTACTGTACAACTATGATAACTCCTTAGTGTTAAGTAGACTGTAAGCAATAATGTTTTAAATTGGCCCCTAATGCTAGGGATAATAGAGGCTCTCTCTTTGCATTGCAACCCACTATTGTAAATACAAAATCCAATGTACGTTTGCAAAAAACATAAAATAAAATAAATAAACAGCGACGTTGGTACAGGTCACACTGACAGGTCGTGTCAGTCATACTGGAGGCCTCAGAGACGTGTGTAGCCCGTTTCTTGATGACTAAAAGAATTTACCTCCAGAATACAGTTTAGCATCATAGTGTGTGACCCCCCCGGGGGTGCTGAGTGTGTGACCCTGGATTTCTGAGTGTGTTGACCCCTGCAGTGCTGATGTTGTGACCCCCTTTGCTCCCTTAAAGTGTGAGTGTGTGACTCCTGGAGTTCAAATAGGTGACTACACAGCTGTTATGTACCTGCAGGTGGGTGGTCGACCTGGGTCCCGCTTTCTGTCTGCTAACATGTAACTCAGCTAGGACCACCCGGTGATGGCACCATTTGCCACCTGTGTGAGGATACCTGGACCCGCTAGCAGGGGTGGCTAAGGCTCTTCGACTTCCTGCTACATTAAAACATCTTTTACCTCCAGCAGACAGTAGTAGCTACGTTCCTTCACACACATCCTTCTCCTTCTCCTCTTCTTTCCCCCTCCGTACTCAAATGGTGGGCCAAGCAATGTTGATAGACCCCAACAAACATACACACAGCTACAAAGGAGATAAACGAAACAAATAACTATATCAGGCGTAAGCAGACAGACACAGCTATAAAAAGTATTGATATTATTTAACCATTGTAAACTAAGACGTTTCCCAAAAAAACGTAGGATAGGAAATTTACATAATTTAAGGGGGGTTTACGTGAGAGGGTGAGAACAAGCGTCTCCATAGTGTTGTAGTCATGTCTCACATTATATAGTCATTCTCTAGCAATAGTCATTCTCTTTTCATTAATTTTAATCATAATCTTGTACTAAGAAATATGTTTCACAAACATGAATGTTATAAAAATAACCGGACTTGTATATTTGTTCAGTATTAATTCAGAGAATTATTTTCTCACGACTTTTTTGGACCGTGAAGCTTCTGGAACTTTATGATCTTGAAGCTTCTGGAACTTTATGATCTTGAAGCTTCTGGAACTTTATGATCTTGAAGCTTTTGGAACTTTATGATCTTTAAGCTTCTGGAACTTTATGATCTTGAAGCTTCTGGACTTTATGATCTTGAAGCAACTGGAACTTTTTGATCTTGAAGCTTCTGGAACTTTATGATCTTGAAGCTTCTGGAACTTTTTTGATCTTGAAGCTTCTGGAACTTTATGATCTTGAAGCTTCTGGAACTTTATGTCTTGAAGCTTCTGGAACTTTATGATCTTGAAGCTTCTGGAACTTTATGATCTTGAAGCAACTGGAACTTTATGATCTTGAAGCTTCTGGAACTTTATGATCTTGAAAACAACTGGAACTTTATGATCTTGAAGCAACTGGAACTTTATGATCTTGAAGCTTCTGGAACTTTATGATCTTGAAGCTTCTGGAACTTTATGATCTTGAAGCTTCTGGAACTTTTTGATCTTGAAGCAACTGGAACTTTATGATCTTTAAGCTTCTGGAACTTTATGATCTTGAAGCTTCGGAACTTTATGATCTTGAAGCTTCTGGAACTTTATGATTTTTGAAGCAATGGAACTTTATGATCTTGAAGCTTCTGGAACTTTATGGGTCTTGAAGCTTCTGGAACTTTTTGATCTTGAAGCTTCTGGAACTTTATGATCTTGAAGCTTCTGGAACTTTATGATCTTGAAGCTTCTGGAACTTTATGATCTTGAAGCTTCTGGAACTTTATGATCTTGAAGCTTCTGGGAAATTTATGAAAACTTTTAAGCTTCTGGAACTTTATGATCTTGAAGCTTCTGGAACTTTTTGATCTTGAAGCAACTGGAACTTTATGATCTTGAAGCTTTTGGAACTTTTTGATCTTGAAGTTCTGGAACTTTATGATTTGAAACTTCTGGAACT